TCATGCATTTCCATTTCGCAATATTTGTTCGTTTTCGGTCGGCTTCGCCTTCTCTCGAACATTGGTATGCTTGAAGCGACCTGAACTCTTTTGAAACAAGATGTACCAAGTGGTTAGAGCGCGAATTTACCGACCGGAAGGTCCGTGGTTCGAACCTGACCTCTGCCTTTCGACTCCCCCTGTCTAGGCTTAGGCAACCTGGCAGTACCCCAGCCCTCGTGCCTCCTTCGTGTGGCATGACAGATAGGCACCGAAAGGGTGCTACAGCTGAATGATTTTTTGAATCCCTTTTTGTCTCTCACAGTATGCAGCGCAGACGAAAACTTCGTTTTCCAATGTTGGTCTACTCATCTTGAACATTTCTTCATGTAATTCTGTTTCCCTGACAGTCGTTCCGCTCTACTGTTTATTTGTCGATCTTCAGAGTTCGATCTTCGAAAGTGCATTGGGAAAGTCCATTCTTACAGCGAATTGAGGTAGCTGCCAAGAGTGGTGGTGAACGGATGGGTTGTTAAATACTATTGACAGTCGTGCCTTGTAAGCATCAAATATATATTCAGGCCTGTGGAGGTTTCAGACAGCCTGAGCGATATGGATGTATTTGGGATACTCCAGAGATTTGTTTCAATGCTGTGAAGTAGTCCTTATGAAATTACCCATCTACCTACCATTAGATTTCTTGGCTCCTTTTAGCTTATTATTCATTCTTTGTCCGTTTTTGGGCCACCGGAGCTAATGCATCTGACTGATGCTACAGTGGCTACATGCTTATTGCTGATCAGGAAACGAAAAATGCATCATTATTGCAACCAGTCTTGGTACCCTATGTGGTTGATCCTGACGTGGCTGCTGATCCTGCTTCACTGAACTTTCAATGATTGTGGTATTGTAATGGACAAACTATCGGTACATAAACTCTTGAAACTTCGCTTATGTTGGCTGGTTTAATAGCTGCTTGCTATTGCATCCAATATCTTCGCGAGGCCACTTGACAATTTAGATCTCACCAATGCATTACCCGTGTTACACTTGGCATCACGCATCAATTTTATTATGATATATTCAGTGACGTCCTTTTGTCGCGTGGTGCTATAGTCCTAAGAGGATGTTAGCAGCCTACCAAATGATACGGTCCCGTAGTCCTCCGTGTCCACTCCGCAAATGCGTCCAATTCACGATGTATACTTTTACAGCTTTGAAGCATGAAACCTTCAACGTATATATATATATATATATATATATATATATATACCGGCTTTCAACGAGGCTGTCAGTGCGCTTGCTGTTAGCTCCCAGCTAGGAGGAATTTACTTTACTGCAGACATTTTTGAGAATGTTCACTGCAAACGACATCCTTCTACTACTTTCAGCCGAAGTCCAATCGAGAACTCGTCGCTTTTCTGTTTGATTCTCACCTGCTACTCGCCGTCCCTAACCCTCCTCTTGTGGGGCGGTCGTTCGAATTCCCGTCGGTATTTTTTGGGTCAAATGTGACACTGAAGGTCTATCGACAACCGATAGCTCTTGGCGAGGTTAGTTACGCGCTGTACACATTTCTTTTGATAGTGATTCGATTCATACTGCTTGCGACTTTTGAGTAATCGCGAAAGCTTCTTAAACAGGCTTAAAGTAGCATAGAGCGTGTTCTCAAATGGTGAACTATATCACCTTAATTTCTCCTTCCTTTGTGTTCCCATATTACCTAAATGTTGCTCGTCTACCTTAACATTACTGCCTCGACGGGACTGAACCTTATCTCGGTGAGATTTTTCGACAACCTCAGCAGCCCTTTGAGGTTTACTTGAGAATGCCAGTACAACATCTACATAGATTCTCCTACCAGGTTGATCATTCCCTTCAGTTTGCATTTGAACACATCAGATAACACCGTTAGTACAACGCTAGCCGCCGGTCCATTGTGGTCAGGCTTTTGATTCAAGGGCTTAGCTCAGAGGAAGAATAAAACTCACCCGACAGGTAAAACTACCATCAAAAGGGTCGTCGGTTGACGAGCCAGTCAACACATCTGAATACGTCATGGATTCGGTCATCGGAGGATGAGTGGCGCCGCATCTAAGTGTGAATTTAACACTGATGATTAGCCAACTGGTTAAGTGTTCAAACTACTAATCGGGAGGTCGCAGGTTGGAGACGAGTTTTGTGAGGTGCGCCGCTGATGATACTCAATAAAGATGAAGCAAATGTACAGTGTTTCTTTGCTTTTCACCACAGATTTGCTTCACTTCCAGAATAAAATCTCGATGAGGAAAGCTTGTCTAATATGCATCTGACCAGTTCCACTCATACTCTATTGAGAATAAGTAGTAGACGGGTTTGAGTCTCAAAGAACTGTTGCCGTTTGAAGTTCTGGGCTGAGTATTAGCCCCTTTTGTCCACATGGATGACATAAAGTGTTACTTTAAAGTTTTGTGAGGGAATGATTCCATGCGCGCTGCGACGGCAGCTGAGGATCTGTCATAGCGGGTCTGCTCTAAGCCTAAACGGAGCATCGCAAGCATCATTCCAAACTGTTTCTTGCCTATTGAGGGCACCAGCCGGTAACTGCGCTGATCAGCACACCCTGAAATGTCCGAGTGAATGCAAGGCAGCTGCTGTCGCTGACAGCCAGCTTTCCTCGATGATATGTGCAACCAGAGATCCCTTGACTTTTAAGCGGTTACACTTGATTAGCTAAGGTAGTGGATTTCAATCAAGGTTTAGGCCAGTATGTTCACTTCCTAAAAAATAACTGGTACTCGAAATGTTGTTATTTGTGGTAGTTGCTGATGGGGGAATAGCTCAACTCTTCGCCATTTCATCAGCCATATTTGAATGCCGATGGATCTTTTGCTCTAAGTGTTAACCTTCAAAATTCGAACATTGGTCCATCGGCTGAACACACCTCAAAAGTACCGTGAACTGCTCACTGATGATCAAATTATCGAACCGGCAGAGTTGAATCTTCCAATATCTCTGTTTTTTCTCATTTACTCGCTCCTGTATGAGCAAAGATAGCAAACTTACCGTTGAGTATACCCATCAATTCGATGCTTAGTTGACTCGACGCTAGGATCCTGTATGCTTCATTCCCGGGACGGTACAGAGGCGCAAGTTAGTGTTTACAATGAGAAAAAAAGACTCAAATGCAATTTTGTAAATCGATTACAACTCTGCTTGTATGCATGCAACATTGAAGCTCTATTTCTCAGTACGCTAGCTTCATATGTTTTCCAAATATTCATTTTCTTTTTTAAGGTTGTCGTGTCTGCTGGCACTTCCATTAGCAACGTTCAAGTTGATAAGCTATTCAGAAGTCTTTCCGTTTTATCGCCAACCGAATCTGATCCGACCGATTTGCACGGGCGTCTTCGTTCTTCACAATCTTCGTTGGATGTGGCTTCACCGGGCACTCACCTCGTGCGCGCTCCTTCTTTTTTAACTCCACTGCAACCCGTATTCTCGCTATTCTCTAGGAACAATCCAAACGAGCCCCTGATACGTTTGAAAACTCGAGCCGTTAAGGAAAGGTTTGTGTTGGTTACACACTATTTGATCACAAGCATGTATTGTTCTCATTCAGCTGTTGACCTTTCATTTGGCCACTCTCACAAAAGTTTTGCAAACTTGCAACTACAAAAGGGAGCAAAGCACATTCTCGGTATACTGGGTCGAACGAAAAGCATAACAGCTTGACTGATTGTATATATAACCAACCTTTCGATAGCACTCGCTGATGCGAACGGTATAGCACGGGCCGGAAAAGCTTATTAATCAGGTAGTTGTTCGTTCATCTGAGGTGAGATGGCACAAGTGGTTAGAGCGCGAATCTACTGACCGGAAGGTTCATGGTTCGAGCCCGACCTCTGCCTCTCGACTTCCTGTCTAAGCTTGGGCAACCTGGCAGCATCCCAGCCCTCGTACCTCCTCCGGGGTGCATAGCAGCTAGGCACCGGAAGGATGTTACAGCTGGACAATGTTCGTCCATCTTGAATCTTAAGGAATAGAGAATCTGGTTGATGACCAAAGGGAGTACATTTGACCGGACCATTGTCACCGTTAAGGTGGAACGCACTCCGTGAGCGCAAGACGCCGAACCCAGACAAACGTGGTCACTACAAAAAGATGTCCGGTGAACGGGAGTTTTATTGTCCTTCTTTGCTGATAAATTTACATAGTGTGATTCAAGAAACCACTTCAACTGATAAATGCCATGCACAACATCGCGTTGGTTTCATCAACTATTATTCAAACGTCACATGGTCGATACTTTTGATATACCTCAGTCACAGAACGAGACATGCATCGAATTACATTTTCCAGAACTCGCTGCGTTCTTCATTTATAGAACCATCCTTTCTCCACAATTTATTGTCTTTGTCTTGTTTTTTCAGGGATCAATGGATTTCGCACATCTGGAAGGCCATTCAAAAGTGCCCCAGGCATTCATCGTTTCCGACGCCATCACAGAGCCCTGGTTAGTTGAGCTGACGCATGTTCTATGGGCGTATGGCCCTCTTCCTTGGTGTCTTATCCTGCTTAATATTCATCTACTCTTGGTGTCAATGTCTGGTTGTGAAGCGGGCCTTGTAAATGGAGTCGAGAATCGTCTTACCCTTAAAATCAAAGGAGATGGGCATCTGCCAACCGGAATTCATACAATGTAGCTTCCAAGTAGAGCTTATCAGAAGGTAGTTTCATTCTTGTTATACACCTGGTAAATGGCTTTGGTAGCCTTTATATTCTTCTCTGCCTTGTTCCGGAAAGCTGGTTTATTTGGATTTTCCTCAATGCACATAAACCATACATTCCAAACAAACAATACATTCTATCAATGACGTTGACCATATAGGGATTGTAGGTTATGTGTCAGTCGCCACCCGTATTGCGAATACGAAGTCAATACCCACCCAAACTGAGTGAGCCCCACAACTACTCAATCGCGTACTCATAGCAACCCTTTTCAAACCTGATTTCATGTCTAGGGATGTTTGTCACTACGGCATTAGTTCCTATTTGACCCCGATAGTGATAATGGTAGACAACTGCACTGACAGGAAGTACCTGTGGCGAACTCGCAACAACCTAGGAAATATCTTGGTGGCATTGAGTCTCTCTGAATAAAGGGACATAACCACCAGCAGTGGGGGGATTTTTTTCAAGTCCTAAAACCGATATTGTGGAACCTGGTGTTTGCTTGGTTATGTTGGCCTTTTCGTAACCACGGCGAAAAGTTAATCTCTTTCACTGCTGTGATGCTCTATTTCGCAAGCTAAACTCTGCGACCTGATCGCAGTGCGTTTCTTTCAGAGGCCAGATACTTTTTCGAGGGCTCTGTGACCGATATCATGGTGCAGCATATACTAGGATTCATAAACGAGCTTGATTGCGGTGAATTTATCACACTTTATTGTTCCACTTCTCTGTTTTAGCGCTTTTTCGGTTGCCAGTTTTATCTTTTACTTGTCCATTTTTAACGAGCTTTCATTTGCTCACGTCCCATTTTGTAGCTGGCGTGAAAATGGAATATCTCTCAGTATCTGTCACCAAATCGTGGACACCAGCTGAAGGTGCGTCCAGGTTTTGTAACCAAGCTGCAAACAAATGAAAAAGAGCTACTTACGAGGACAACTGCGGTATTCAGACACCTTTTTTACTTGTTCTACTCATGTTCAGATCATTAGCATTCAGAATACCTAAAAAGCGAGCAAGATTCGTCTGCCCTAAGAAAAAGTTTAGCAAATGTTTTTTTCGAAATGATTGATGACAAATTGAGTTCGACTCGGAGTCCATTCATACTGACAGTCAACAAATGTGGGAAGAAGAATGAGAAGACGAATTCTTGAAACTGCCGCGGGATTCAGCGGAAAAAGACTTATTTAAGCCCTAAACCGCTGAGTTATACTTTTTGGTGTGTGATTCCTGTCCGATTCACAGAACATATTGCACGCTCGTTTCTTCTCTTTGAATCGATGTATTCAAAACGACAAGCTAGGGTGAGAATTGGAAATGGTTTTGTGACAACTATGTAACATAATAAAATGTTTTTCCATGTGTATGTCAAGAGCAGAATGCTTATTACGACGTTGCGATCGGTAGTGCTTCTTGGGTCAGAAAAGTATGAAAATGTATGAAAAGCTATCGGTGTTTAACCGTCGGTTTCTCTGACGCATTAGCCGTGTCTGTTGACAATATCAGATTCGCATTGCTGAGGTACGCTGGGTAGTTTTAAGAAAAAGGAGCTCTCCCACGACAAGTGATTTACTCGCGCTTTATAGTTTCCTCTTTCCGTCCAGTCCTGTGCTGAGTGGAATTAACCGAGAGGTGGACTGGCAACAAAGTCTGAAAACATTGTCCGGTAAACTCACTCGGGTCCACAAATATCGCCTTCCTGGATGGGGACCCTGGTATTCAATTCATCAGTGGTTACTGAGGCTGGCGGACAAGGCCCAGTCATTTGGCACCCTCTCATCAAAGCTATCGCCTTCAGTGTGTACCTACTCTGATTCCTCTCAGTTATAGTGCTAGCCACCTGGTCGTGCCATCAGCTCCAATGTCTGCTATGTCTCCCATTCTCCCATTTTCTGGTGAGCGAAACTCTAGAAGCTGGAATCTTCGTACCCTTGGTACGTAGCTGATCTGTCCTACTAGGCGTAGGTGCACCCCTCACTAATTCCTCGTCGATCGGCGGCAAACATTGTCATGTATCGCTTGAACCGTATACGATTACGCCTGCTGTCATTCTTTCATCTGTCAGCAGTTAGGGCACATAGAGCAATATTGTCACATGCAAGAAAAAGCTGGGCAACCCACTTGGACGGACTGTAACATCTCGTTTTCGGGTTATTCAGAAGAGCTTACTGTATTTCCGGAATCGAGCTGGCAAGAGTAGTCTGAACAACCTCCTCGAAATATACTTCAAATATTCCCCGTTCGTGAAAACCGATTCTTTCCCCTATTCTTCATGATAAACTACCCGTCTCTCTTCACGAGTGGTGAGACCCTATTCTTGGAGAAGGGCGTGGTAACTGTTATCCCAGTTACCTCCGATACTGATACACTTACCTCAAGATAGAGAGTGTCTTTATGAATTGTTTGAATCATGTATGCATTTTATTCGCCATCGTGCAATTTGTTTACACCTTCCAGCCGCATTTGATGCTCTCTTCGAAATCGCGGTTGACGACCAGGCGCGCCAGACGTTCCGGTACTCTCAGGACCAGCAGTTGTCTACCACAACAGTTCCTGTACGGATTCGTTTTGTTTGTCCAGGCGACAGTTTTTTGAACATTTGGGCCTATGATATTTCAACACAGGGTGAGTCCCGTAAATTTCATTTTAGACTTCATACAATCACATCACAATACTTGCAGCCCTATGGCACTGGAAAGTGTATTCGAAGTCCTAGGTTATAACCTAGCCTGTAAACGTTTCTAAGAAAACGGTATGCGGCGGATTTCTCGGTTAGATAGAGTTGTTGCCGTCTAAATAAGATCACCACTTGTTGAAGACTCTTGTTGGGGCTCATCAGATAGGCGTGGTCCTCGAATTTCCATTAACTCTTTATCCCATTCGGACACCAAACTGTACTGTATCTCGTGGTACCAAATGAAACATGAAGCGAACTTTGCGCAACACATTCAGCCGAAGAATATCATGAACGAGAGCTTTACTTGGCCTTCTTGTTAACAATCGTGCGATTTGCGAATTATTGTATTTTTCTGACTTGAAGCGTTCTGACTGACTACCTTGTTACAGAATATCTCGCGTCTGAGTGAGCTGTTCAACGTATTTTATCTGTAGTAACTCATTCCCTATATTTCTACAGAACTGAATCGACTAGTTTTGCGTAAAGACTCTGTTGACTGGTGCCACTTCATTACTATGAGGTTCTGTTGAATTTTGTTTGAAGCCATTGGTGTATAGTCGCTTTATTCTAAAAAGGTACTGGTCGATTCCACACTGTCATGAAGATGCAGCAGGTATGATGTTTGAGGATACTTCTCCCAATATGTACGATGTACAAAACAGGGAGAGGCATGCGGAGAGCTTCTGAACCGACTTTTTCATATTCGTGGAACCGAAATTCCGGTTGCGTGTGTCGGATGGTTTTCAAGAACTGGATGGAAGTTTTTGACTATTTCCGCCTATAGAAGCCACGTGTTTTGGAATGATCCATGCAAACCATCACAGATGAGTGCTGATCTTCAGGTGAAAACTAACGGTACTGGAACCTTCGTCACGACCCTCTATTCAGAGTAGGTTAGATTGGGATGTTGCACCGATGTTTATTTATCCCGCAAGCATGTTTCACAAACAGATCTCTTCGAATTTAACACTGATTGATTTTCTGTCTCTCTTTTACCTAGCTGAGCTTGGGAGACAGAAAGTTCCCCTTGCGAGATTGTTAGACTCCGCTCGCTCCACAGCTGATCAAAGGGCTACAAAACATATCATCACCATGTCAAACTCCACCATCGGTCTACAGATCGAACTGCAGCTAGAACGTACTACAGATTTGTGGGGTGATTCTCATCGGTGACACCTTCCTGACTGCTCGCGCGCACCTTTTATAAAAGCATACCTTCTACACCATATTTTAATCACTTGATTTTGACTTTATATGAAATGTACTTCGCTCAAATAAATCATGTCCATCTGTATGATGATACTTTTCTCTCTGATTTGTTTTTCTATGTATGTATATTATGTGTTGCGGATGTCACCATTCTCGGGACCAGTACGATATGCTGTCATGGCTGCAGTTATGCGGAACGTGATTGCACACCCTTGGTCAACTGGTCTGAGGAGCTCATTCCGCCTCGTCAGCAGATTCGGGATGTTGTAGAATTAATGGGTTTTCGCTTCATCAGTACGGACTCCAGACTCCGATCATCAACAATTCCTGGAACCAAATTTCGACGCGCATGTCTACGTTTTATCCGGGCGTTGCTTAGATGTTGATTTCCTTTGCACTTATCGCGTATATGTGCATCGTATCCTAATTTCACATATAGGGCCAGTGTGGTCAGTTTCTGTTCAAATCTACTATTTGAGCTACGGTGTTCGGACACGCATCAGACTCTTATTGTATCCTCCTGTCAATGAACCATGTGGATGAGAAGAGCGGCACTTCACATAAAGTAGCTCGTTCCGTCCGCAGTGTTGATACTTGAATCATATGTGCTCCAGCCTTTGTTCAAGCGGCCGTGGAATTTTGACGTCGAAAATTATCTTGTATGTGTCTAACGGTCCCTGGTCGAACAAAAAGTAGAGGCGCGATTTCGAATGATTGTAGCCAATTCTTTACTGAGATGACTATTATATTTATTAGGTTACTTGACAGAACTTGAAAGTCCAGTTCTAAGCTGTTAAGTGTAAAGTACGCGGTTCTAGTTTATTCCCAGCACTCGGACTACTGCTACCTAGACATGGATAACACGACGATATCTCAGCATTCTTTCCCGCACGGCCTCCGACTTCCAATGGGTTTCCTGGGAATGTCAGAACTGCGTTAACGACGTATTCAGTACTGTTATCTGGTCTGTGAAGTTTTAATACGAGCATGCTCCCTTTATAATTTCTTTCCAAAATGTAGATTTTTTGTATTCGCTCGTCGCGTTTTTACCGACGTTCATGTAGTCCGTGTACCTAATTAGAGTTCTAAGCACGTTGTTCCCTTGCTTTCAGGATCCCGCAGTGGTTACCGAGCTAAATTTAGCCCCAGATGTGGGCGATGAATACCCGGTACTGTTCCAGATCATGTTGTGGACTAGTGTCGCTCTGATCCTGGTCATATGGGGTGTTTCTTGGGGTATCTGGAACATGGATCCTGGACATGATGGTATTATCTATCGAGGAACTGCGGTGCGACCAAAGCGAGACTAATTGTTTCCGCTGTTCACTCCCATGGGACGCGGTGATATGGAAGCATAATTTCCTTCAAACTCCTTTTATTGTACTCCCTTCTTGTTGTTACGTATTCGCAGCTCCATTTATCTTCCCATCCGCTCATCACTTGTGTAACCCAACTTTTCTTCGATATGCTATGAGTATTCCTTTCACTGGATTTGTCGGTGTTGTCTCATTGGTCCAACATGAAAAGTTGAGTCTCATTCTTATGTTGTTGTACAACCAGAACACGTGCGATCACTTCGAATAGATATATACCCATAGTGAAAGTCTTTCTGCAGTATCCGCGGCACGCAACATATCAAGACTTTCCCCTCTTTCTAAAAAGTCCAACTTCTGAATGAGCATCTGTCTCCTCCAAGCAGATGGCAATGCAGATGGTTTCTGTGCATTAACCTCAACTTTACTTCCTTGTTTTTCGTCAACCTACCATAAAGATTACCAACTCCGAATAATCATGTAATTCCCAGAATTACTTGTTACCCAAGAGGATGGCGCGTGGAATTCGTAAGTCTTCACTGATGCACACTGCCGTCAGCACTAACTAAAGGTCGCCGTCAAATCCGTCAACTTAATATGATGCAAGAGCTGTTACAGGTTTGAATTTTGTACCTAAGTGGAACTTCTGGCGCATACATTTAGATTCGGGCCCAAGTAAATCAGCGTAATCAGCTTGTCCAACTGTGCGTAGTCATTAAGAATAGCGCAGATATCATCAGATATGGGGACGTAATAACGCCGCCTTGTTGCAGCGTTAATGTAAAACTTAGTCGGGTTCAACAATGATGCATCTGATTCGAAGAAAATGCGCGGATGCAGCTTTGTTTTCTAAAAAACGTAACTTCATTTGACGAGGTCCACTACGCTGGATATTGCTCAAGCTGAACAAGGTGTCGTAAATTTCAATGAACCTCAACAAAAGTTGGTCAGTCAGCGGGCCATCTTTGGAATGACGGACCGATGTGCGCATCTCTAACTGGAGTGTGCCGCAGAATTGAGCGAGATGAGCGTAGTCCGCTGGGCCCAAGTCGGCACAAATCGACTGTGCCTAACCCGTCTATCGGACCATGCCATGAAAAACTTTCTAGATATTTTAAAGCCGTGCACGCAGTAAAAGGACAGAATATATTGTCGGTATTCAGAGACAGCGACCGAGTTGCTCACGTTTTTCTTCCATTCGAATAAACTGCGGACAAATGTCCATTTTATCGGATATACCACCTTCCTTTCGGCATTTGAACCTTCATTCCACTAGTTTTTGGGTTTTTATTCTGAACTACGGACCAGACCTGATATTTATTTTCGAATGAGTGTATTTCGCCAATTTCACGCAATTTGGTTTCAAGGAGAACATAAGGTTGACTGTTGTCGGTATTCAGAGACAGCGACCGAGTTGCTCACGTTTTTCTTCCATTCGAATAAACTGCGGACAAATGTCCATTTTATCGGATATACCACCTTCCTTTCGGCATTTGAACCTTCATTCCACTAGTTTTTGGGTTTTTATTCTGAACTACGGACCAGACCTGATATTTATTTTCGAATGAGTGTATTTCGCCAATTTCACGCAATTTGGTTTCAAGTAGAACATAAGGTTGACTGTGCCTCCCTTGTGAGCCCCAAGAAGAGACCGGTCGTGGACTGTGTAAGAATTTTCAACAACCTTAGGATTGTTGTGCATTTCGAACAGATCTGACACTTTCACAACCTTTCGGTTGTTATGCCCTTGTTTGGCGAAAGACAAACAGATCCGTAAATGAGCTATCGGTAAAGCCACTCTATCGCCGTACCGCAGATTGAACAAGTGATGCGTCAAACTTCAAACTGGTTGCTTTTCGCGGCATGGCTGGTCTTGAATGGGTAAAACTCGATCGAATTTGCTTTACCTGTTGACTGAAATGGTGATAAGTTCGCAGGTGAAATTGTCACCCTCCCGTACGGCGGTTTTGTTTCTGGTGTTGGTGGTTGCGGGTTCTGCTTCTGTCTGGATGTGTACATCACGTGGTACGTGGTCGATTACTGAAAGGCTGATAGCACGGAGAATCACATAAACTGCTGCTTGAAATGTTTCTCTGACGCAGGCTTCCTATAGAAAGGGGAGAATTTAAGCGTTGCCAAAACCGCTTACTTAAGGTGTCTTGCGTTTATGTCTCCTGCAAGTTGAATTACATCCACGAGCATATTTGTTGTTGTCCGCTCTCATCTCTGGAACTCGTATGTCCTTGTTGGTGCGCGTTGTTTTCCTGTGGCACTTTGTGCACCATAACGCGGCACACCATGTTTTCACTGAACGTCTGATCTCGTTCGTGGCGAAATGTGCACACTCGGTACCAAAGTACAAAATGTTCCGCACGTATGAGGTGAATACTTTCGAGTCGTCTAGCCCTCCCACGATGGTCTATACAGATAATGAACGGTTACGACTAATCGGCAGTTCTAACCGCATCTACATTGCTGTCCGTGCTTTGTACTCATTGTACCTGGTGACCAGTGTTTATGGTGGTTCAAACCTTATGCGCACAATCTGCTGTTTGTCTGTAAGCACCATGAGTTATTTCTACAAAAGGAGAATTTTGCGCGGCTGGTCCCGTCGACCCGTTTGTCTGTTGAATGTGTCCGTTTGCCTGTTTACCTACCCGTCTGATAGGTCACTAGGACTGCTCCGTCACGGCTGTGTGCAGACTAAGCAAATTTGAACTAAAAAATACATAAGTAGTTCAGGACTTGAGGATCATCTGGTACTCCAGAAGACTGAAAGACTATTAATCACGCGCACTGAAACGGGTTTAGTCTGAGTTTTGTAAGTAATTAAATCCTTCCAGCGTTCGGTTCACCGTAGTTAACATGAAATTCCAATTTTCGGTAAATACTTTCTAACAAAATGTGTTCCAAATAAGTCATTTCGCTATAAGGATGTTCGCAGTGGTGGTTCACGAAGTTCCAGCTGAATGCGATGGGTGCGGATCGCCAACTCATTATCCGGGTCTCTGATAAATAACCCCTATATGGTACTTGTGAGTTCTCAGCTGCGTACCTCCGATCGGATTGAGGGTTAGTATTTTCATTCCTACACAACCCATAAAGAGGTACCCGGTGAACAGAAGGGATGCCCCTCTTCCACGGTTTAGCAGGCAACATCGAACCGGCCTCATCTTCCCCACAGTTAGCACGAATCTGAGAAAACCGCGGTGGAACAACAACGGTACCATATTTCATACAACAGCCAGTGATTTCTGAACCAGTCCTTTTATGGGGCGATTTCGACCAGCTGATAACTCGGTTGTCCAAGCGTACTAAGGGACCATCTGGATGTTTTCATCTTCGGTATATGTGATTCATCGCCTGACGAACCTTACATTCCTATAGTCACTCTGTACCGTCCAGGTTAACTCGCTATCATCCCATGTGTGCTAGAGTGCTGCGACAGGTACGCATCTGCTTTTGTCGTTACCTTATTCATTTTTATGAAAAAACGCCCTCATTTTGCAATCGAGAGGAGCGACGACCGATTTCAAGCCAATTCCACGGATTCAACCATAGATCCGGGTCGCTTGGATCCAGTTGCTGAGATATACTCATGTAAGCTTGTTCAGGACGTGTTCAACCTAGTAGAAATGTTTGTACGAATTTCAAATAAGCTCTTCAATACACAAGATAGATTGGAGCTAGGAATTCAAGAGCCAAAACTCTTCGGAATCACTGCCCTCAGTGACAGATAATAAGGAATGTCGCTTGTGATGACTGCTGCCAATTTTTCGCATTTAGATGTGACCTACCTTACAACCGTTTCGAACTAAAAGTGCACCTATTTTCCTAGATCGGCCGATTTTCTAGCTTTTCTGATTAATCGAGTCGGTCAACTCCCGCTCATTGGTTGATGTCTGTTGGTACGCTTGATATGCCCACCTTGTGCAAAACAGCCACCGCTGTATGTTGAGACAGAATAGCGGCAATTGGGAAAAAGTATGCTAGTAGCATGCTCCTGTTCGTTTTTGCTGTTGTATGTGCGGAAAACTGCGCTTGGGAATGACTGTTGAATGGTGTGTCAGCTAAACAGGCACGATGTCCTCTATGAGGACTGTCCATCAGCTCTTCTGATGATCTGACCTCACCGGCGTCCCTATTGGAATGGCTTAATCAAATGCGTCGTCAGTATGACAGTCACAAGAATACTTACTGAGATGACACCGTTGAGGCGAGTTTCCGGATCATTTATTTGATATTGTATTACGGCATTGCGCGGACATAAAAAATATAACAAGGCCTGAACCAGCAGCAGGTTGTCTGGACCAACTCATGCTCCGTCAAGTGTTACAGCAACGACATACGTCGCGTAATTTTGACCTTTCGTTCGACTTCGTCGGAAGATTCGTTCTTGTAATCGTTTTTGCAAAGGGTGTGAGTCAGAATCTCATACCGTTTGTGCTCACAAGCGTGTGAGGGTCAGAGCACATGCGGAGCTTTGCGAAGTTTACCTTACAAGCGATCGTGTCCGACAGCGTCCACTCTCACAACCTTGCCGTTATGATGATGACCGCAGAGGAGATCAGAAGGCACGATGTCTAACTCTCTGCGAACCAGAACCCTGTTGATCTGTAAGCTGTTCTGATTATTGGGAAAAAAGTATAACCGTTATTATGAAGACTGGTCAGGGTCACCGAATCGTCTGCCATATGCTGTTGAACCCAGCAGTGCTTTATCTGTCCCGAGATTCCACTGCCTCTATTGATGGTTGGGCGGATGAGGTAGACGCAAACGTTTCAAGGGGTGGAAGTGTGTTTGGCAATAGGCCCACCCGTGGCACCGAGGTTTTTTGGTCCTAAAGAGTGTGTCTATCACGCCGCAGTACGTGTTGTCGTACGGCTGCCAGGTTTGGCCTTAGAAAGCGTATGGTTTCAGATAACTTAACTGGAGTCAGTTAGAATCAACGAACTCACAAGGAGAGCGGCAGACGAGCGCCTGGTGAAGCACCACTTACTTCACCAGTACTACGAGCTGCGGCGGTTCAGTCTTGTGCTACGTATGCCGATCCAGAGTGGTGCAGCCCGTGTACTTCCCACCTGCAAGCCGCGGCATCCATAATCTCAATCTATTGAAATGCTCAAGTTGTCAGCACTGTGTATGTTTGTGGTAGACCCACACCAACCCCCTTCTTCTCTTCATTAACGGTTTTCCTTTCAAATGTTCGGAACAGACATATGGCAGCGAAACGCCAGTGAAATAGACTGATGTACATAAACTAATAACTGTTCATCAGTGGAACGCTTACGGTGCATACAACCAGGTAGCCCAAGCCCAGATAGAAGCAATCGAAAAGTTGGCATTATTGTCCGCGGTGATCATTATACCATCATGACTCGATAAAACGTCCTATTGAGCCCTATTGGCGCGAAGCTTGTTGAGAACGATATTTCAGTCAAAGTGAACTGAGACAGCCTTAAGAACGAGGAGAAACCGAACATGTATTCCGTTTTAGCGATCGGCAATTGCTCATCCCGACCGCAATGTTTAATTAGCATATGCAAGCGAATGCACGACAACGAACCAGAATCCCACTTTCAAGCAGACTTACATCCGTGGAGGAAGTAGTGAAGGCCTCCCATTGGGTTTGTATTACAGCGGTCTATACCAAAAAACTTTAGCTCGATACCGAATACAGATTAGGGCAGGAGTCCTCTGGATCCCCCCTGTCTGAGACACGAAAACCTGAAAGCGTTTGAGCTCTCGTGATTGGTAAAAACTGTGCGGTATATACGAATTAACTGTTTCCATCAAACAGAAACGGAGCAACTTAACACAGAATACGCCCGCGTTGAACAAACTTCCGAGTTCCGAAACAACAGCTACTACAGCGGCAGCCTGATCCTTTTTGCCATTATGCCACTGAGTATCCCTCAAACAAGCAAAAATAGTGAAAAGAGGATCTTTTACGAATCACTGGTATGATACTCAAAAAAGTTGTTCTCTGAATACAGTATGGGCCGCCGATAATAGTCCGTTAGCCAATCGGGTTCACGAAATCTGTATCGGATGATTTATTGGCTCGAGATGATCTTCGTTCACAGCATGATGCAAAAAATCTTCATTGTTGCTAACTTTCAAGTCTTCTGTAGATAAACAAACAAATGGGTACAAAAATTAGACGAATGGCAGAGAAGCACACGCGAAATCCCCCAAGAGCAGACAGGTCGTTTGAGACAACCATAACATAACCGACTTTAAGACTTCGTACAATGCACCAATACAAGGGAGAGACCCGTATGCTTGTTCGCTGTTCACGGTGAAAAAGTAATCCGGACGATGAGTCAAACGGTGTGGAATGCTCAGCCAGGTGTAGCTCGCCTATTAGCAACCTGGTTTAACCATCGGAATTAGCTTTCTGTAAGCGAAAACATCTTGCGGTTAGGATACAAAATACACAACTTGTAAGATATAGGAAATAACCTAACGACCACAGCAAGTAATTAGCATCTGGAGTTTTCGAGTACGATTGTCTATCACAGTTTCATCACATGTAAACCATTTTTAGCCATGACTACTCGTATTCAGTCAATTGGGAAAAAGCTTGGAACCGATTGAGAAGTCATTGTTTCATCAACGCAAGATTTTGACAACCACACTAACCGACAAGAGCCGTAAATTGATCTAGTGCGCTAATATGAAGGGGTCTTACTGATTAGTTCTCCGTCTGCCTTAAAACTTGGCCAACTAGGTGACCTGTGCACTTGGCCTGATGAAGCTTTTCTGTTAAAAGCGAAACATTGCCCAAATATAAACTACCGATTGTTTACCAAGCCCCTCTGAAGCTACTCGTTCTTTTACAAGGAAACCTGTATGCACAGTACGCTCTAAGGTACCGGAAGTACCAAGTGATCCGTCGCGAAAGAGTGAACAAACATTGTCCGGTTGAGACCCGCGAGACTAGAGTAACAGTAGCCCCACTAAATAATGTGGTGTTTACAGAATCTGGGGAAGTTCAGCACAATCTATTTTCCTGCTTCGTCTGTAATTTTTATGGCAACGAGTGCAGGAAAACGCCTATGAAAATAACTGAAAAATGAACCCCGATAAACGCCATCCAAATTGCACGGACTCATTACGAGGAATAATTCTATAATCAATGTTTCGACAGACTAATCGGATACGGATGGTTTTTTGGGATGATGGGTTGGTTGTGATGAAAAGAATGTTTGACAAAAAGAGTGGAACATTGAAGAGCTATAGACATATTGCGATTAGACAAAGGGCTCCGAGGCATGCACCGTTTGTACCATGCTGTTAAAATTCAGACAGACAGGTTTGTCATGGAAAATGTCAAATGATTGGTCTTTTTTCTAACCGAACAAATAGCTTACAAGCTGGTAGTGCAAATCTAAGGCGTTATCATTTAACTTTTTTCATCCATTTTCTTGAAACGACCATGCAGAACAGATAGACACCCAGCAGAACGCGCGGTGGGACATACTCCGAGGTATTTAATACAGATGTCGTCGGGAAAATTGTCGGGTCGGAAATGGGATCACAATTCTGTATTGCCAATTGCCCGACATCCGCTAGATACTGGCTCGTTCCGAATCTTGTGCAACAAAAGCCATAAATGGATAAATGTGCAAAAAATAACTGGCATTGATCAGACCACCTGCGAAAACTAACCAGCAAGTGTCCGTCCAACAATTTTTACTCTTCGTTTATTTAAGTGCGTGTTTTACTTAGGAAAGCAAGGGGAATCTTAATATATCCCAGCACGTCGACGACAATTTAACTTCATAGTATGTTGCGACATCGGCATCTGTTAACCAGCACTGCTGAAACTGCAACTATGTCGCACCGTCTTCTCACCCCTAAATGTGCATTTTCTTTCCCATATTCTGTGGTTTGCGGGAGCACACGACCAGATTGTGGCTAATCAGACCACAACAACCTAACACAAAGGTTTCAAGAGTTTAGGCATTGAACATTCGAACCTTTCTAGGATAGCCAGCGACAGTTTGCAAAATTCGAAGATCGGTTGGCAACCATGGTTGGAAGGACTGGGTCCGCCAATTTTACACCACGAACTGGCGAGCCACTGGTCTAAATTTACAGAGGCGCCATAAGATTCTACTGGCATTTACTGAACAAAGAGAAGCAATGGGTGAAGGTAACAATGTCTTCAACATGTCTTTATGATCAGTCTCTTGAAGGGTTTTTATCAGACCGGATATCCGCATGCTGTTGGCCGCTTGAGCCCTTGAGCAAGCAATATGGGCCCAACACAAGCTCCTGCTGTTCACATGTCAACAAAATAGCTTTGATTCAAAAAACTTCAGGTTTCACAACATCTCCATTACACAGAGTTGCGATGTACTCCTGTACACCAGAATGTTCAAAACTCGTATGAGATATCAGAAGCTCGACCTGATTGTATACCCAGTTTATATTTCACATGTCCTGGTAACGCAGTAGAGCAGTGACCGTCATTGACCTTTTCTCGGTACTTGGCTTTAGTACGATAGACGTCAGGAGCTCCACCTAACTGGGCGGAATTACCAGACGAATAACAGCTGCTCGACTCACCAGCCATTCGTCCTTGTATTGTTGGAAGGATATGGTCGGATTAGCCTTGTTTATCATCTTCCAATCCGGCAGTCGAACTGGACAGTCAGATAGCAGGTCGTTGAAAATAGAGGTTAATATCTGTGCCAAAAATTCAGAACCTCGTCTGGAAAAATGGAGGCCATCGTTGAAAAATTGGATCCAGTCCTAAGTCAAATAAGAAAGAGATGAGCACAAATGGATTACGCATCCGATACAGAGCCAAGAATCAGTGTAAGCAGAATGGTAACGAGAGTACAAAAGAGATAATCAGGTAATATTTCAGGAAGGTAGTTTCTCCAACAAAGTAAGAAACATACAAAACAAATCCAACTGTTCAACTGCATAGGAGGTATAGACAGGTATGAAAACGAAGCCATCCTAACTAGTCAATGAGGCAGACCAAACAGATTTCTACGGAACACAGTTCCACCTATGTACTGTTCAAGATGAGTGTCGTTTCATAAAAAGTAATCTAACGGTGTGCTCCCATTATGTTTCAACCTGGTGCATTCATTTCAAAAAACATTTTAAAGGTGACTCAACTGATGAAATAAGCAACAACCCGTTGGAGAGTCTCGCCTTTTAGGTTGGACACGATCCTACCAAATGAGCGAGCATATTGTATGCCTGACAGATAACAGTTCCATACACAACATTTTACCAACAAGCCAGGTCCGTCTATTGCACAAACTGGGGGATGAATGGAGCCATTATTTTTGGGTTCTGTAGTACGTATTGCGGTCGCATCATTCATAACAAACGTGGACACACATCAAGAGGAAAGAATGAGTGTTATCACCCGATGAACTAGACTCCACGAATGTGTTTACCCTATGGATATAACCACGTTAAACACCAAACGTACCGCTATAGACCGCAATCAAAAAGATTTGTTAGAATGGTTCGTGTTTTCTGGTGGTTAAAGTTGAACAGTAAAAGCTACTGGAACCATAGTATATACGGATTTTTTCGACCCATCGTAGTTTGAAGCCAGCGAAAAACGTCGTCAAAAACGTCATACGACAGCCAACTGCTTCGAATCAACTGATTAAGCAACAGCGCACTCAGTGGATGACAAAACATGTTTGCGATAGGATCACCGAGTTCAATAAGTAATTCAGCCAGTACTCAACCATTCTCAATCCACATTGAAAACCCATAGAGTTCCCAACGTGCGAGTTGATAAGTGGGATGTACCTAGCCACACCACTTTCAACTTCGCCAATTCCAAACAGTTCCAGTTGGCGAAACAGCACACAATGTGTAGTTGCATCACACAGGTAGATAGTGGATAATGGAAAACTGTCCGACTGTTCACAGCATGAAAGCGTAAGATGCCATGTGGCTCTACCAGGAAGCCCACAAAAGTTATGCCCGGCGGGTGAATACCAGTTAACTTGTTCTGCAGTATACAGCATGATACAAACATCGGATATAACACTTCGGAAAATACTCAGCATACGAACGCTGCAAGTTCAACGACGGAAAGCCAACAGTTAGCGAGCAGTGAGTAAATGTCTGACGTTTTGCGCAAACATGGCTTTGAACAAGTTGACGTAAGGGAGCCCCTCGTTCACAGCAACTTCCTCACACGCTGCGGCGTAAAATGGGCAATTTTTCAACTCCCGATCGAGTGGTGTGCCTGTGAATAACGAAGGAAAAGAAAGTATGTTTGTCTGAGGAATTCGAGAAGCTAAGAGTGACTGAGTCGTAAGAAGTGACTCCTCACTGTCGCAAAATAAACACGTGCAGTCAGGCATACTACTACAATGTTAAGATACAAACTTCAAAAGAATGTTGGTCAGCTGAAGGAAAGCGATATTTGGAGAAGGGAAGGTTTTGGAAATTCCATGAGGTTTGTGAAATCCTAAAAACTGCAAACAAGTTAAATTGGTGACAGTCCAGCAAACGGCTTCGATGCATTAACAGAATCTACGAAGATAAGTCGGATCGCTGGGGGCATCAAAGAGTGCCAGAGCTGCACAGTTCTGGACCAGAGACCGGTAAACTACGCAAATGTTAACACATTCGGATATGACGTAGGACCCACGCGTCTTCATTATCTGATAGAAACGGCCCTTCCTATTTCATTGCGCCATTCAAAATATGGTGAGGTGCTTTCGAGAGAACAAAGCAATTACCTCATTTCTTATTGCCCAGTTCATAATAGGTGGGGAGACAAGACAACAAACTTTCACTATTCACCATCAGTGGTGTTGAATTAGCAAAGATCGGGCAGGATATGGCGAAGCAGAAAGGAAGAGTATGCTAGAGCTTTCCGTGGGTTCGTGATGTGAAGCTGAACTTTTGCATCCCATACCACGACAAAGTCCAATAACCATCTTTACACTCTAATACTTTCCAATGCAGCCGTTATAGTCTACATCTCTGACACAACAATGCCATCAGTACAAGTACACACTAGGATAAGGATCAGCTCAGAGATATTGGGTCCGACTAATCCTCCAGAAAGTCACCACAAAATAAAATGAGATAGTGATAAGTATGGTTGCACAGCGCCTGAACGCCGAAGCAAACAGCTGCTACAGTGAACGATTCTCATAAGTCAAATTACATATATTACGGCATACTCAGGGACCCTAGTTTTGTAATTCAAAACCTGGTAAAATATTCAAAAGCGCACTTAGAATGCTTAAATCCTAGTGGAATCCAGATGGGTCTCACACATAGAGAACCTCCGTTCGTTCAGTGGGGTGGAACCAGATGACCAAAGAGAATCAGATCACACTTCCGTACGAAGCCCAGGCTCCACCTGAAAACTCGTATAGTTATGAACTACAACACCACTTATATAGAATGTCTGAATCAGCGAGTCTCCACTGGACGCCATCAGCGAAAACCTCGAGCCACGTCCTGCAGTATTGGGTGATGTCAATAGAAAATGGGTGTGTATAATTGGTGCTTTGGTATCGCCGAAATCGAGCAGGTAAGCTGAAAAAGTCGACTAGGATGGCTTGGACATATTTTTCGCTGCCTACACACCAACATAATTATCATCATCGACAGTATGACATCAGTGTTCAACACCGATGCTTCACTGCCGTAACCAACATAATCAGAGTTGCCCTTGCTCCTAAACCGCACCAAGACTAGCGTTGCCGTTGAGGTGGCCAGCTAAAAACGTGGATACACACTGTTAAGTCCGATGTAAGGCGTCTGCCTCTGCAGGCTATCTACGGTCTACGCTATTGGAACCAACACCGGTTCGTTAAGTCACCAATGACCACCGCATTTGAGAATCTTTGATTCGAGACGCCCAGAAAGCCGGCTCATTTTCACGCAGAAAAAAATCGTTTAGCTGTAGCATACTTTCGGCGGGCTCGGGTACTGCCAGATTGCGCAAACCTAGACAGCCGAAGTCGAGAGACAGATGTCGGGTTCGAACCACGGACCTTCTGGTCAGTAAATTCGTGCTCCAATTGATATTTCTAGTTGAAACGTGCTAAACACTCAGTTGAGTAACACTAAGAGATGTGAGTGACTCGGACGATAACAGTAAGAGTATTTTTTTATACTGAAGGGGGTTATGCTCCCCAAGGGAGATGTTTTGATGCGTTTTGAAAGATTTTCTGCATAACCTATTCGGTCTCTACCAACAGAAGGGCTAGTCATACGTGGTGGCTACATGGACCGACTTGTCTTGCGTAAAATCGTTGCACTCATCGCATAAACGTACATGAGAAGCTGCTGAAGCTGGAAAAACAGCGGACTAAACTCACGTAAAAAATCAAACGAGCGCTTATCACCACTATCGCTAGAACTACCTGGTCAAATCCTCCCCAACGCTCACGAACATACATTTACTGATAGGAAACTAGTAAATTAGTCTACGAGAAGGGCAACCATCACTGACTCACCTTCCGCAATGTGCCGACTCCCCCATCTGGCTTCGTCTAAGGGCGGGAGGCTAATCAACATAATGTGGTCTTTTGGAATGCCAAGTTCCTATGGGAGATAAAAAGTAAAATTCAAGGAAATTGAATATGTGACGAAAGTAGTATCCAAAAGGCCTACATGTTGCTGTTTTTAAAGATTTGCTCATTACGACGCAATAAGAGATGGAAAAGCACATTCCCCATAACATATTGGGTTATACAGGCTATTCAGAACTGATATTCAAAGTCAACACCAGGGTCTATTTAAGTCATATGTAACATCAACTGGACCGCGGCTACATTAAGCTCTGTGGTGACCGAAGTCATATACATCTACATGACGGTATGACGGAGTAAATCGGCATCGCATTATCCCCGTAGAAAGTGATCTCAAGGTTTTCATCAATGTTAGCACATTGCACTTTATACGAACTTTGCGAACATGAACTGCACGTAACCCTGATCCCCACCTTGATTCCTGTAAAATCAACAGGCAATGATATTACCGCCAACCCGCAACTGGCTTCCACCTCATTCGAAATCACGTGGTAAATGTGAAGCAAAATTAAACCATTCATGGACGTACTTAGTAAAAAAAAATCATAGGAAACTCAAGGGCAAATGGGTGTCAGTAGTCACACAATTCGGCTGGTAGAATCTTTCCTGTCAATACAGAAAGTCCGATTAAATCAGTCGACTCGATAAATTCTTCGCTATTCAGCCTCTCTGTTCACCATCTGAGATCCAAAATGAGAGACAATGGTGATTCAATTTCGGACCGGTTCCTACCATACCATAGTCCTATTACTTTACTTTTCCTCATATAGCGGTGATAACTGGTTAACCCAGTGATCTGACTACCATTAGTTAACCAATTACGGAGCCATTATGAAGAAGATTTCGATAAAATCCTTGTTATATTCATCCCAATAGGTCTTAAACGTCCATTCGGCTCTATGTTCATTAACACAGAGCTACGGTAGATCGCACAGGGAAATCTGATCTCAAATGCACCAAAACGGTATTATTTCAGCAGGTGTGACTGCAGTTAAAATGTCTTACAGTTAGATAGCTAACCATTGTTTTCAAGTTCTCCTTGTACTCATCAACTGGCACATGCTGCTCCGCGTTACTCGCATCATTTGCGCCCAAGAAGATGATAAACATACGACACAATGCCACTGACGCCCGGTCAGGGTACAGATCCGGCAGAATCTGACGGCACATACGTGTGTTATACCCGGAGTATCCTCGACCGATTATATCCACACGCCTGAGGGAATTTATAAAAAAGAAGATGCGTGCAAGAGATGGGTTAGAGTAATAAGAGGCGGGTTTTCTGGAGAAAAAACGGCAAGTGCAAACACATATGCAGGAGGGAAAACACCCTACAAGACAAACGGACATTCTGTCTACAGATTCGTCACCCAAGGAGCCAAATGACGTCGGACTACGTAACGTGAACTGGTTGAGTGGAAATGTGGTGCTGCATGATGCTAAAGTACGAGTTGATCATAGGGCTGATCACTTGCCCTTGGCCGAAAGGTAACATGTTCAGACACTTAACCGGGAGTTATGACTTCGAAATTCGTGGACGATGTGCACATCAGGTAATCCCCGACAAGTTTTCAGCATAAATTGACTTCCTTCACAGGACAAAATTCTAAATGAGACGCGAAAATGCTCCCGTTACCTACAAAACAGCATACAGAATTTTGAATGGAAACAAATCACTCCCGTTCAACTGTGAAGAGCGCACTGTGATGTAGTGCTATCTACTTCGAAGGCCCAGGCGTCCCTGTGGATAGCTAGCTCTACGGCTACTTGGGGTTATGGCGGTTGGTAGATCTTATGATCAAAACTACTGACCCATTCGATTCCTAACAGGAGGATTGCAAGCTAAAGTTCGTTTTTTTGGGGGACTACTAAGAGCAAGTTGTCAGATATGACAAACATGGATGAAGAACGCACACAAGTGGCATAACTTTCCGGTTATTCACAGTAAAATGACGATAGTCTTTATTCTATAACGTATGAACACTCACTCATTTGTAGTGTGCATCCGAATGATTGAAAGCGTCGCTAACAATAATGGATGAGTCTGTCACGCTCTTAATGACAACTGACCGAAGGGTTCTCCCTGGTGAGTTATCTGATCGCCCACTGACGCGCAGGAAAGTACATGTAAACGCGAACAAGTCCACAGGTGAAAATATGGGCGCTACGTCGTGAATTCAGACATGTCTCAATATTGTAGCTAAAAATGCTCCTACCCACCATCTCAACGGAAATCTGTATTTACGTTGCAATCAACTACATGTACCAGTGATGAGCTCTAGCGGACCTGGTAAATTTGCCTACGAGCGAATGAACCGGATGCTCTCAAATGTTGTCGGGTACTCGTATAGAGTACTGAACCTGACCTGAACTGATTATCCATCCACCCATTGTTTTAAAAGCAATGAACTCCGGGTGGTATTCGATTCGTTCGCTCTAGCCTCAAGCAGGAATGAAGAAGTGAAGGCATTGTACGATAAGCGTCCCCACCCAATAACCTATTTCGGCCAACCTAGCCGTCCACCATCGATTCTCAAATAGGATTTAAGACACAAGGGCCATTCAGGCATAAGAACCATTCAGTAATGGTTTGTCGCCTAAATACAGATAGGCTCCCTCAATGGTAATTACTGAACAGTTCCTCGTACAGCCTGTACGATTTTTACAGCACGTGGGCAGACTATTAGGATGAGTACGTCAAGCAGGTCTTTCTATTCCTGAAGATCATCAAAAATCGGATTCTTTGTGCCACAAATACACCGAGAACTTGGTCAGTCGTCTTTGAATTCTTTAGATTGACAGACTATCCCTAGAATGAGCACTGTTGGAAGTTTGAACCAGTCAGCATGAGTAAGTCTGAGAGCAGAGGGGGAAATCGAGACAAATAAAGTTTTCATCCAAATGATTCATTGTTAGTGGCACAAATGACGCGGATCGACCACAGGAAAGCAAATCACAGACTGAGTCTGTAAAGCTGTCAAGATACTGCGCAGGAACTGAAAGCACTATTCTAGAACTGTTATTTTCGAATAAAAATGGTAGCTACCATCTTTGTACAAATATCACAAATATTCTCATTTCTTGAATCGCAAATAAGCACTAATATCCTAACAGTGGTATTGTTGTCAATTTTGGGCATGACGGGCGATTTGAGAGAGAAACCAACATAACAAATGAAAGCGTTCCACAAAGGAAACACTGTGCCTCTGGATCGGTCACTAATCTGTTCGAAAAATTACGCATGAAACTCACCGAACGAAATTGTCCGCCAGGATGGCAAGCCAGCCACCATCGTAGCTCCATCCACGCTGAGGGGTTGGAACATCAAGGAGGGAAGAGTTGAGATGAGCACAAATGAACCCAAATAAAATTGCATTATCCACTGCCAACTGTAACAAAAAAGGAAACCCGCTTGATGTCCATTGTCAAAAGCTTTTCAATTTTATCGAGCCTGGAAATGACAGAGTGCATTTTCTAAGGGCCACTGACATTAAAACCTATCAGTTCTTAATCTACCGCTACGCGGTGATGTGCGAATATGGCGCCTCATAAACTTATAGGGTCAACAAGCAACTTCCAGCCAACCAGTTGAAGAAAGTATAATGAAATACACTTGCAGTCTAGCACGAAAGCGTTCTCAAAACCCAGCTCCCATCCCGGTGACGAAGAAAGTTTATTGGTTAACGTTAGCCAGTTGGTCATCAGATGAGCGTTCAATACGATGGTTTAAACTGCTTAGTTGATTTGACAAGCGACGGATCAACAGTTGAGCAGGCTAGACTAGATGTTCAGCTGTAGCACCCTCTCGGTGCCTAGCTGCCATACTACCAGAAGGAAGCACGAGGGCTGGGATACTGCCAGGTTACCCAAGCCTAGACAGAGGAAATCGAGAGGCGGAGGTCGGGTTCGGACCACAGACCTTCCGGTCGGTAAATTCGCGCTCTAACCACTTGAGCCATTTCGCCCCTAACAGTTGAGTATATTGGTGGTTTTAAAATTCTCCCCTTCCATTCACAATCTGATCTTAAGCTCCTGGGTTTACACTGGGTTGAAAAGGATAGGATAGCATCACCCGCGGCTCGAAGCAAACCGCATGTTTCAATGCCCATACTGCACGGTGGTTCACCAAAATATTTCGGTGTGATAGGGATGTCCGTAAAACAATTCGTACGTAAGAGGTCGTGGCACCTTGGTAAGTCTAGCCGATAGTCCTGACGATAGTCCACTACGTAAAAACTAATCCGACATACACTGTCCGCTACATAAACAATAAAATCCACACTATGGTCAATCACTCAATGTACGATCACGTAGCGGAAAACATTTCGTGGTATACCAAACTTCGCACCCAAGAAAGAACGGTATCGAGATTATTCACGGCACCACTCTCCTAAAGCTATAGGAACACGAATACCGCAAAAGGTCGAATCAGTTAGCACCATAGTCAACATACTACGCTTTTCCAAGCAGACAGGATTTCCTACAACACCAGTAGGGCAGTGAAGCACCGGTGTTGAACACTGATGTCATGCTGTCGATGATGATGATGACAACACCAGCCGAGTCGGCCCCATATTGGCCAAAGGACCGGTCTGTTCTGTGGTCAAACGCCACCTGGAACATTTTCCGTATTTTCCCTGTGTGGATTTTTGCTCGTTCATCACTTTTCGTACATAATCATAACACGTAGTCGATTATTGTTTAAAAACAATCTGTTCGTTCGAACAGCTTTCTGCACAATAAAATATCGGGTCTTATGAGAACATTGAATAGATTTTACACCATGATCAAGAGGATTAACGCCAAAATGAGATGGTCAGCCTTGTGAAGCTTCCAGTAGTAAGACAGCTATCACGCGTGAGTGCTGCGGGCTGAATGCTTTGCAGCTAGAAAAAGGGCGCACATTACACTTCCAGGTAGTCTTTATCTAGATGTAGTCTATTTCCGTTTAAACGGTAGTTGGGAAAGTTAGCAAACTCATACGGTGATATCTATCTGATAGAGACATTTAGGCCAGTGGATGTATAGTAACCTGTCTAGGCTTGGGAAACCTGGCAGTATCCCAGCCCTCGTGCAACCTTCGGGTGGCATGGCAGTTACGCACCGAAAGGGTGCTACAGCTGAACGATTATTGGTTATTGTTGTATAGTAATACTAAAATTTGAAAAGCAAACAGAGAGAATTTTATTGTGTAAAGGGACATAGGCGAAACACTCACCTGTGTCAGCGAATCGCCGAAACATATCATTTGTGGCAAAGCTGGAAGGACCGACATTTTGCCCCCAGAATCAGTCAGCCTTGGGGCGAAAGGGTGACCAGACTGATAAGTTACCGAAACGAACAATAAACCTACGAAAAATCCTATGAAAAAAACATAAACATTTGAAATGATTGCCGGTAGTATTTCAACCCGAATCTATGTGAACCATCGGCCCTAAAACTTACGTCTTGGTACGTCCATATGTCCAAAAAGCACCAATACCCCAGATTGTATCAGTAAAAACCCGTTGTCTTGACGTGGAGGTCAGGATTCTGGAACTGCACTGAGCTTATCACATGCATCGGTTAAAAAAATCCGCTCCAGTTGGAGTAATCAAACTGCATATCTCCATCTGGTAGTAGCTACGGCAGTTTGCTATGCGGCAGTGTACATCGGTAAGCGGATATACCTCCAAAGGTGTTCCTCTCATTGAATAGATCAAGCTGTCATGAAATTAGACAGTGGATTAGCTCGAAAAATTGATCCAGAGAGGCATGCACTGTTCTCGCGATGCACTGCGAGGAATCGTAGATGTGAAGACCATGTGTGTTACAATTGCATCAGTATCCCCGAACGTTTGTTGTGTTCTGTTTCAAACGTGAGCACAAAACTGGGCATAGGCCTTTGAATTAATCCCGGTAATCGCTTATGACGATATCCAAGCGGTCGGCTAACGCATGGATTCTATAGACCATATTTCGAAGCCGCGTCGCAGATCCCAGAGCATTCGCAGTTCAACTTTCACCTCACAAGTGAACCCTACCTGCGGTCCCAAACCATCTTGCACTCCAGCTCAATAACGCTTCAAGCATGAAGATATCTATACTACAGTTGCATATAATGATGAATCTGCGGTTATGGCACGAATTTATTGACCGGGAGGTTCATGGTTCGAACCCGATTTCCGCATCCCGACTTCTAGGATTGGACAACCTGGGAGTATCCCAGCCCTTGTTCTTCCTTCGACTGGCATAGCAGCTAGACACCGAAAGGGTGTTACAGCTGAACGATAATCTTTATGGTTTTTTAGTGATAAAAATAACCGTCCAGCTGTCACACCTACAATGCGCAACTATCTATCCCACCTCCCCGAATGATCGGTGAACGAAACTGTGGCAGCTACAACCACTGTATGACAAGTGTGTGGTTGCTACAGCTGATAATAATAATAATAATAATAATAATAATAATAATAATAATAATAATAATAATAATAATAATAATAATAATAATAATAATAATAATAATAATAATAATAATAATAATAATAATAATAATAATAATAATAATAATAATAATAATAATAATAATAATAATAATAATAATAATAATAATAATAATAATAATAATAATAATAATAATAATAATAATAATAATAATAATAATAATAATAATAATAATAATAATAATAATAATAATAATAATAATAATAATAATAATAATAATAATAATAATAATAATAATAATAATAATAATAATAATAATAATAATAATAATAATAATAATAATAATAATAATAATAATAATAATAATAATAATAATAATAATAATAATAATAATAATAATAATAATAATAATAATAATAATAATAATAATAATAATAATAATAATAATAATAATAATAATAATAATAATAATAATAATAATAATAATAATAATAATAATGGTATGCAGCAGTAGGAACACTAGGTTTTTTATTTGGGGTTGCTCTACAAACCCACAATTTGGGGAGATGGAGTAGGTAGCTGCGTATTGGAGGCGGGAATTGACATAAATAGAGGGTAAATACAAGGTTGTCAGTAGAGCTTTAATTGGGGAGATAGGGGAGGGAGCTGTGCATTGAAAGCAATAGCTTGGATACATGAGCGCCATTAAGGGTGCGAATGGGCCGGGTCTGACAATGTCTTTAACCATTCATGTGTCCCGTCTCGCGGTTCCCCTCCAGGGAGAAGTCGATGACCAGTGCGGCTGAGTTTGCTGGTAATTACTTTTATAATTTTGGTTTTTATACTGCCAAGTCATTGTTTGACCGCCCTGGCTTGTTTCCACCGTTCACTTGGTTGTGCGGAAAGAACCCTTCGAGGAAGTCCATCGACTGGTATACGCAGACGTGGCCAAGCCATCGCAACCAATGAAGTGGTATCAATTCACCAATTTTGGGCGTCATTTCACCCGGAAACTATCCGACGTACTTCAGCATTGCGAATCCGGTGTTCCCATCACACTTGAGCAATGATGCGAAAACATCGATCCTCAAACACTGAAGTTGTTTCGAAGTACTCAGTGCGCAGCGGCGAGCTTTAGGATCCATACAATGAAATGGAGCGCACTGTAGAACTTTAAACGCGACCCGTGACGGATAAGCTGATGTTACGCTTGCGCCACAGGTTCATGAAAGCTTCTCTGGCCTTCCCAATCGGGATAGGAACGCCATCATTCTCGAAAACACCGGGACTGATACAACTATCCAGGTAGGTAAGTTTATCTTCTATCGCAATTGCCTCCCTCGGAAGAAGGCGGAGGCATTTTACACTTTTCAGGTTTTCAGAGAATGCCAAACCGTGGGGCAACTTTATTTGGATGGATGTAGTCTGCGTCAAAGTGGCAGCGGGGCCAAGACCATACTATATATTTATCAGCAAATTCCTAGAGGCGATTCGCCCCACAGACATTAGGGGCTGGGAGCAAGTCATCCTTAATGGCACCATTAACGAATTCAGATTCGGCGAGCTGGCGATTTTTAGCTTACGCCGAAGAGGGGATGTAAAGCAAGACAGCCCTGCCTCACACCACTGGATGCAGTGAACTGAAGCGACAACTTTCCACAGACCTTCACATGTCTGTGGGAGTTGGCATAATGCCTCTTGAGGAAGATCGGGCATTTATGCTCCATAGACAACGCCGCAATACCTGGCGGTTCATAGAACCAAAGGAGGCTTTCAAGTCAAGGGAGACTACTATTGTTGGTTGCCGAAAGCAGTGTCGCTGTCGGAGGGTGAAAATGTGATCAGAGGACGCAACCAGCTCGGTTTCCACGGCTCTGCTCTTACTAGCCCGAAAAGTTTAAGAGACCGGGCTCAAGGTCAGTTCAACTTTCCCATTGTCGAAATCCGCCTGCTTCAGTAATTCAACTAGTCAGAAATAAGTGAATGACATACTCTCTCTCAGAACTCAACCCCAAATTTTAGTTGTCGGATAGTACGGTAGTACGCCAAGTGCGCCTGGAGCAACTGATTCCCCTCTAAATAGGCGATTCCCCATCGGGATCAGTTCGTGTTTCGGAGGTGAGTTTTTCTTCTGAACACCATTCGACGTACCACCAAGCTCGGCAATCCTCCAAAGACACCGATGGTCATAGACTGAGTATTTTGACGTCCTCGGCTTTCATCGGTCACGTTTCAGATCCGTATTTTGAACACTAGACTTGGCGGTCAGGTTGATGTCACGACTACGCCACGAGTGACGCAGGTTCACAAAAGCTGGCCTTCCCAATCCGGATGAAAATATCACCTCTAGCGAGATTACCGGGACCATACAACTGTTGAGGCAGACAAACTTGTCTACTATCTCGATCGGCTCATCCGCAAGCATAAGGTTAGGTTCCGAGCGCACCTAGTCTTGCAGCAGCACTTTACACTGTCCGTGCTAATCGCATGCCAAACCGTGAGGCGGGCTGACTGAGATTATTTCCTATCGCTCGCAATGCCATGGGATCGTATCCACGAAAAATATGCGTCGTCTGTGTACTCGATATTTGTGAGCGAACGCACCGGGAGCATTTCGACCCTGCATGCACCAGAGGTTGATAGCGAGTCTTCCATGATCGCAACAATGACGGGTTGAGGTGGACAGGTGGAGGAGGATAGGCCTGCCTGACTACTAAATGTGATGAACTCAGAAGAGCGCTTTCTGCAGACTTTCACACGGCCTCGGGAGTCCATATACTGCGCCTAATGGATGGTCAAGAATTTATGGGGGACACTTGCTCCACCGACGCTGCCATAGTGTCTGATGGTCCATAGCTTGCAAATCGATAAACACAACCACTGTTGGTTTCTGGAGGCAGTATCGCCGTCCCAGGATCCGTCGGATGGTGAAGCAGGACAGCACCCAGCTTGGTCTTCACCGGGACCGGATAAAAACCGTCCGGTCCTGGTGCCTTGTCACGTTCCAGTACGGAAATTTCATACAGTATTTCTTCTTTCGACGGGTGCTCAAGGCTTGCATTCACCCATATGCACTACCTCTATAGGCCATCGTAGGAAGACAGATGAACTCTTCTCCAAAGAGTTCGCCCATCCTTTCAATCAGTGTTTTTGCGAGTGAATTAATGAATTGTCTTTTTCGCTGTCTGTCTGTTTCGGTGACTATTGTTTTCCTATAGCCAGTCGATCGCATCTGATATGGAATATGGCTGCTTCCGGTAGCAAAAACCTTCTTCATCTCCCGAGGCTTGGATGTTCGCCAGATCTCTCGGTATTTCCACAGACTCTTCACCATTTGGCGTTTCGGAGATTCGCGCGCCGTCGTGCTCGTTGCTTCATGGTAGCCATTTCTTGGGTTCAATCATATATGGCAATCACGCCGAAATGCGGTGGTCTTGTGATCGATTTGAAGAGGTTGGACAGAGAGCACTGAAAGTTGGCAAAATAGATCCCTTCACAGTTTACCACGCTTCACCCAGATACCACCACCACAGTATGGGCTTACTGTGGAGAGTTGTTGTGTTAGCTCAGATCGATTCTATCGAGCTATGGTAGTTCTTCGAAGATATTGGATTGACATGCTTCTTGCTAACTGGTGAGGGCCTGAAGGAGAACGAGCTGTCATGCGTGCATGCACCATGGCGAGATCGGAATCAAGAGGTGTGCAACAGAAGGGACGGCTGTCTTGAAGTTTGCCTCCACCGGTGGCTGATGGCTGGAGCCGGCGACTCAATAGTCCGACCTGCTCGACTGCAGGTAATTGTGCTAACCCGAAAGCGAAGGAAACAAGGTATTACCGTCTCATTCCTAATGTGGCTACGTTCGGCCCCGGGCCCTTTGCTTTCAAGAGTATTTCCTGCCTATTGAACAACGCGCCCGCGGTCACGGTCAATCGAGGGGTGATCGAAGTGTTCGGTTTTCGTGGCCGAACTTTTCTAAGCTGTCCTTCCTCGAGAGAAGACTGCATCGCTGCTTCCATAAATATGGACATGCCGG